GATCATTGTGAAACTAGTTTCGAAACTTATCAAAACTAAACAATTTCAAAACTCCTTAGTTTTGGTGACCATCACTAGTGTACTACAATAGACCAAATTCTATATTTCACAAAATCATACAGAAGTGTAAATTTGTGGAGGTCTGAAGCTACAGGTGCAGAAAAACTCTGAAATTCATCTAAAAAATCTTGTTCCTGCAAAGTTTCCAACAAACCAAAAGATTGGTTGATACCTTTCAATTTATCCCTCTCAAGAAGTTCAATATAATTTTTCTCATGCAAATTTATTTCTACATTATAGGAAGCAGAAAATAACACATGAAATATGGCATGAGCAAATTCTGAATCATTACTACTTCCTAAACTAAATTACTATGGAAAATGAATCCAGCATTCCACCCACTTACAAAAACTGTCTAATGCTTTTTTCATCCCATCTTTTATTTTTTTTTTTTCCAGGTGATTATATTCTTCATTAGATAGCAAGGATCAGGCATTCTCAAACTCCTTTTAAAAAATCAATACATAAAAATTCTTCAGGTTTGTGTTTTTTAACACTTAATAAGTCATTAATGGAGTTATTAATTACTTAATAACTTGATCATTTTAAAGATAATTTTTACGCCCATCACTAGTTTCAGTTAAATAAAATGTGATTTCAGTTAAATTGATATGGAAAATTGTGAATTTACATATTAATGCTTTATTTTAGTTAAAAGTCACTTATTTAATACAGCATATTGTGAGACTCAACAAGAAAAAAATCACAATTTAGAAATTTGAAATCAGTAAAAGAAAAACTTCTAGGCGAACAATTATTGTAATAAAATTAAATAAATGAAGAGTAGTGGGTAGATTGTAGATTCTTAGTGTAAGTTTATAAATTTTAAATTTTAATATTTACATGATTCACAACATTTATTTATTTGTTTTTTTCAGTCATTTGGCATCTTTTATTTCATTTGATTCATCATCATGTGAGATATTGATATATACATTAATAATGATTTTATACATGGATTTCAAAAGGACATAATAACTTGGTGTAATAATTAATATATCCATCTATTCATCTATATTATTTTTTATTTACCAAAATAAAAACTTCTACATGCAAGAATTTAGTTAAAACATAAAGTTTAATAGAAAAGTGAATTGCTTTTGAAGACAAGTATTATTAATTTTATTAAAAAATATAATATATTAAAATATTCTTTCTAAAAAAAATTTCTATTTTAATAAATAAGCATTTAAAGATTTTTTTATTTTGAAAGTTTCAAAAACTTTTCAAGTTATTTAATTGCAACTTCTTCTCTATCAGTAGGGACATTTTCAATAATCACTTCCTTCTGTTTTTTTTTTGAGCAAATATTTGGTAAATTTTCTTTGGTAAGTAAAGTTCCAAGAACTTTGGGTCCTGAGAGTTGCATTTTGGCCTCCTGTATTTATAGACATATTAGGATGAGACTTGATATCATATTTGTTGAACATTTCTTCAAGATGCTGCTGATGAACAATTATGTACCAAATTTTGTTCTTTACAAATTCCCATACCAATGGCTAATTCAGTGTGTGTGGATTTGAAAAGGCCAGAAATTGCTCTTGGAACTCATTATCTTCTAAAGCCTGAAACAATCCAAAAGATTCTCTTTTTCCGATTTCTAGATCATTTACTAATTCATCCATGTATTTTTTTTTTGTATATTTGTTGGTTCATCAGGAAAGTCTGTATTCACTACAACTTTAGCAATGGCAAATGCAAAATCAGGACCATGAGCTCCTCCAAGTCAACATATAGAAAGGATTAAATGCATCCATGGATACATCCATTTTTTAAATGTTTCTGATGCCTTTGCTAATCCATTTTCAATTTTGTTCACCAAATCAAATAATTCATCTTCAGGAAGAACTTCATGGGCTAATAATAATTCTTCTATGAATACTTCTTCAACATGTTGGAAGAATAAATTGGACAAAACCAAGACTGTCAGATTTTGCATGGAAGGATTTGTGTAGAATTTGTATTCCAAGAGGATAAAATAACAGACTTGATGTATGATATTGTTGTATGTGAAATTGAAATTATGTGAAATTGAAATATTATGGAGTGGGGTGATATCTGATTAGCTAATTTGAATTTCACTTATGTAAATTTGAATTTCACATAATTTCATTTTCACGTACAACAATACCATGTAAACCCAGATACTGTATCTGCTCTACAAACCTCGAAAAGATAAATAGTGTGAAGAGCTGTTAAGATAACAATGCGTTGATTCATCTTGGTTATTGTTCAAAGATAACTTTGATTTGCCAGGCTAACTCTCCTATACCATCTGTCAATTTGTCCTTAGCAGTAATGTTATCCTTAATTCCAATAACTGAGATGACACTTGCCCAACATAGATTCCATTCATTCAAAACTAGAGTAAAATCAAGCTTCTGGCGAGGAGTAGGAATGCCACTATTATGTGTATCCATTATTGAATACTTTACATCAGAAGATAGACTTTTAAAGATAATTCTGCTGCTGGTTGAAAAAATTCAATTTCACCCAAGCCTCTTGAAGGTGGTTGAAAATTTGGTAGAATAAATTCTTGGTTTAGATCTTGCAATTCAACATTCTGCATAAGTAAATTAACATCATGGATTTTAGCCTCATCATCAATTTCTTCGCCAATAATCTCAGATCTAGTGGTAAAATATGAGTGCTGGTCTATGAAACAAAAAATAAAATGTCAATTTAAGAAAATATCACATATAAGTAGAATTTTATACAATTACATTGTGTTGCCACTTGTTTTAACCTCTCCGATTATCTATCTTTTTATGCTTACATATTTCAAAATCTAAACAATCAAAGTGTATTTTTTAAAAAATGAAAATTATAAAAGGCATGAAATGCATATAATATGATAACAATTTGCATTTCGTAATTTCATAACAGTGTGCCAAATAAATAAACCAATGGAATGAATGAAAAATAATTTTTTGTAATATTTTTTATGCAATTAGTCCATTACCTCGATTTATTGCTGAATCGTTTTTTTGTAAATATTCAACATGCTTCCATCTATCTTCCGCCTTCTTCGTCAATTCTTCTTTTTTTATATTTAAAGCGATCATACTCCCCTTCATACTTTTCTTTTCTCCTCCCAACAACTGGTCCAGCCTCCCTCCCCACTTTTCTTTCCACTCCTTCAACTCTTTCTTCGCTTCTTTGTACTCGTTCTCTGCCTTTTCACTATGGTTGGCTCGGTCTAAAGACCTCCTATTTCTGCGCCACGTGGCCAAATTTCAAAAATAGCAATTTTGTAATTT